AGGGTTGTTATAATTTGATGAACCAAGACGATTAAACTTGTGTTAATCAACTTTGCATGGATATTAGGTAACTTCGTTTATTTTGTGTTCTCCTTCAAAATAATGGTAGATTAAAAGAGGATGGACTAGTAAGTGTTGAATAACAAGTGAAAATGTTCTTACATATATTGGCACATCATTCTAAGAATCATGTTATTAGATTTGTGTTTAGACTGTCTAGAGAAGTAGCTAGTAGATACTTTAATTTAGTGTTGAATGTTGTCTTACAACTGCAAGAAACACTTCTTAGAGCACCAGATCATGTCCCAAAAGATTACTTAGATGAAAGATGGAAATTGTTTAAGGTATGGTGATGTTGTGTGCTTTTACATCTATTCTATTTTTATTAGTTGTGTTTTATATTTTTGATACTTTTTGGATATGTTTATAGAATTGTCTTGGGGCATTAGACGAAACGCATATTGGAGTTAATGTGTCATTAGTTGATAAACCCTGATATTGTAATAAAAAATAAGATACATATAAGAATGTGCTAAGCATAAGTTCCATGGATATGAAGTATATATATATATATATATATGTATTATCTGGATGGGAATGATCAACATCAGATTCAAGGGTATGGCAATATGTCATTTCTAGGAGGAATGATTTAATAGTTCCAACAAATTAAAAATGATTATATGGTACAAATATTATAATATTAATTAATGAGAATAGGGTATCTGAATCAACTATTATTTTTTATTATAGGATACTATTATTTTGTGGATGTTGGGTATATAAATTGTGAGGGATTTCTTGCTTCATACAGAGGTCATCGGTACAATTGTAGTGAATGGAGACGTGAGTATACACCAACATATAAGGAAGAACTCTTCAAAATGAGCTTTCTATGGCAATAAATGTGATAGAGAGAACTTTTGGATTGTTAAAAATGCATTGGGCAATACCTAGAAGTCGATCTTTTTATGCAATCGAAATCCAAAACCATGTAATAATTACTGGTTTCCTTCTTCACAATTTTATTAGAAGAAAAATGTCTATCAACCCAATGGAAGTACAATTAGATGCAGAATTGGAAACACAAATACTCAACGAAGAAGTTGCATGTGGTGATGGTGTTCAGTGGCGGACCCAAGAAATTATATTTATGTCTGCACACTTAGTGACAGGGGATGCCCCAGACTTTTTTTAAAGAAAGTTTTAAATGCATTAAAAAATAAAAGAATATAAACAAGAAAAGAAAAGAAAACCTCAATTTAACATCAAAAAATAATAATCAAGAGTCAACTAAGCTATCACAATTTCAGGCAATAATTATTTGTTAAAATTTTTATTCTTATAGCAAAGCAAAATGATCTTGCCTCATTTTCTATTATTATTTTGATATAAAATATAATTATATATCACAAGTAAGGGGCAATGAGGATCAAACTCATGATCCAATAATCACGGAGACTCTAATAATATGAAAAACAATCATATGAGCTAAAATTTAAAAATATTAACTGAATGCCATTTTAATAATTTTATAATATAATTTTAATAATATCTGTAAACAATGGTATCACTCCTAAACTACGGGTATATATAAATTAGTAATATTATGGTCTTGTTGGCAAAACCACGTGTTGCCCAAAAGCCTATGTAGCAATAATTAAAATCCAAACTCGACCACCTTCAGGTGCTATATGGTAGGCAGATTTTTTTTTGAAATCCTGGGAAAGTGGGGTGGGAAAAATTATTTTTTCACATTTGGTAGGAGGAAGAATGAAAATATTTCCTGAATTTTTTTTTCCTATCATTTGATTTTATACTACCATTTTCCATTTGCAAATACCATGGAAGACATAGTATTTTTTCCTAGGTGGTGGGAAAGTGAAAACATATTTTTCTGACCAAAATACCCTGAGCCACAGAAACATATCGTTGTTTGTGTGAAAAAATCGATTTGTAACATAGCATCAACTCCTAAGTAGTAGTAGTAGTTTCCACCATTGCCAAGTTCTTCTTTTTCAAGACCCAGGTGCAGTAGTAGACTAAGCCACTAGCGCAACATGAGCTAATATTTGCTTGTATTGGAGCAACATGCGTTAGCCCCAGGCACTAAAACAATGATAGGAAAAAACAACATGCGCCTTTTCATCGTCCTCTGTGTAAAAAGAGCTTTATTTTGATGGGCCGGGTACATATGGTCCGCTACCAGAATTAGTAAAGAATAGGGAGTGGGAGGGAATTTTTTAAAAAGTGAGGGATTGGGAGGGAAACAAAATTTTCCAAAAATAAGAGAGGATCACCTAAAAAAACATGGTCTGGGCTCACTTTATAAAATTCCGTGTAAAAAAGTAGGTATTTGTACTATTGCTTTCTATTGTATTCAACAAAAGTACTGTATTCAACCGTGCTTTCTAATCGTGTTTCAAAAAAAAGTATTTTCGTAAATTCTCCTCATATTTTAGGTAATATTTTATCATCAATCAAACATATGCTCAGGAACCTTTAGCCAATATTCATGGTAATATTTTGACCTACAAAACTGCTTTTTAGTAACATTTACGAAAAAAAAAATTCCCACCATATTCCCAGTAATTGTGATTCTTGGATAAAAAAAAAATTCTCTTATACCAAACGTCCACTTAGTGTCAATTATATGAAGACAAAAGTGAGTTAATAAAGACAAGAGATATGGCTCCACCGTAAGTGACAAAAAAAACCTCTGGCTATCCATATATCCCAAACCACTTGTAATAGCCATCGTATATATGGTTTTCCCCTTCTATATAAGCATCAACTCATTACTTAGCCTGCAGTTCTTCGCAAAAAAAATTTCTCAAAAAATTTGTGTTTGCACTTGCAATAGTGTAGGTCCGCCGATGATGGTGAATATACCAATATAATTGAGGCCAGTGATCTATGATATGCTTGGAGGTAACATTTAGCAACATAAATGTCAAATGAATAGCTAGCTAATACACATATAAATTGATTTTAGTGTTCTTCATTTGTAATTTTACTCTCTTTTTTTGTTTATGTATTTCTTATAAAGATTTGAAACATCTATATTTGTATTTGTTGCATTATAATTTGCAGAGATATAATTTTTTAAAATAAAAAATAATATAAGTTATTTTATGCATTTTTAATATATTTTATTTTAAATAATGAATTTCAAAATTTGCTAAATAATTTAAAATAGGACTTTATTTATAAATTAAAAAAAATTAAATTCAAATTAGAATTATATGAAAATCTATTATATAGGGTATTTTTGTCAATTTATATAGGATATTTTTAGCGAAATCTAATTCCCTCTACTCTTATCTATCCTTATCATATCTTGTAGGGAGTGGATTCTCTCATGTGCTAATTAACATGACCATGTCATGTGGGGCAATCATAACCAAGATGGAGAATATTTAACGGAGAATATTACTTTTATGTGATATAAGAGAATTTTTCTCTCATGCACTCACTACTTAGAGGAGAGAGACTAGAAGAGAAAAAAAAATAAAAATAAACAGTGGACCTCCCACCCTTGATTTGTGAGTGCATGAGAGAAAAATTCGCTCATGTCACATGAGAGTAATATTTCCCATGTTTAATCCACCACTTTCATTCAACAAGCAGAATTATCAATCATCTTTCTTTTCTCTCGATTTTCTCTCACGTGAGACCTTGTGTGGGTGTGTTATGTACTTCAAAGTTCAAACTCAAGGCACCTTTATTTTTAATATTGGGTCACATAATCTACACCAATGCGTAAATAAATGTGTGATTTTAAAACTTTTGAGAGCATAAGTGGATCTCTATGTAAGTAAGTGCGTGGCCTTGAATTCTTCAAACATCAACATTACTTGAGGTATAAAACTTGTGAAGAGTAAAATAAAATTCTCCATTTATATTTAATTTTGAATTTTTCTCTCTCTAAATATCTTGCATATCACCCAAACGTGGGGTGATTTGTAGTCGATGCAATGCTGTTGTGTGTGCAATATCATCTTGATATAATGATGTATTGATATTAGCAAGGATTCCCCACCATTGAATTGTTCAATAGTGTCCATTGTGTTTATGAAAAATAGTCATTTAATTTTTCTTGCAATATAGAAAAAAATTATTAAACGGGGAATAAAATTTGATAAGTTTCACACTTTTTCATGGGGTCTGAATGTTTCCAAGTTCTTCAGCTTCCACAACTACATAGTTTGTTGTTATAGGGGAAAACTTAAAGCTAACAATGATTGACATTTGTTCTTGAAAATGCATTGACAGAAAAAAAAAGGACAACAAAACTGAAAATAAAACAAATGCAAATAACTTTTTTCTTCTCAAATATAAGATTTTCAGTTTCCTTGTGCTTTGTGGCATATGTTATTTTAAAAAAATCCATTGACTCTTTCATCCTTAAACAGGTACTATCCAATGAAGGAATAAGAATTCTGTAAGATCAAACACTTCAACTTTCTCACAGACAGCACTGAATTTGAAGAGAGAGGCTCCTATAATATTGAAGTTCTAAAATCTGCGTTCATGACACTATTGTTGTTTCATACATTAGGATCATCATCACTCCTTTATAATTGAAAGGTCATAAGTTCAAAAATAGGAAATAACCTCTTTTTATAAATATACAAGTATAAGAATACATATAACGGTTGTCCCTCACCCCTATCTAGCTAGTCAAAATTTAACATGAATGTTTTGGTGATTTTTTCTTTTTTTTGAGTGAGATATTGCTAACATTGTGATTGTCATTTGTTGGGTTTATGGGAAAATCAGTAGTAGTATGGAACGTGTGAGCATGTCAATTAAGCTAAATCTGACCAAATATAAAGACCCTATTCATGTTATTGTACATATATTAATTTTGATATCGCCACAGATTATGCACAATTGAGAAAGATTATTTGCAGGTATTAGCATTGAAGGTGAAAAAGAAAAAGAAAATCTTAAAATAGAGATGAAGCATAAGGCTTTGGAAAACAAAATATGCAGAATAATTAGAATTGTAGAACGAGTTCTTTAGCCCTGTTTATCTATCAAATATTCCTGAACTCACAAACATGGGAAAAAAGAAAAGTTGGAATACAAGAAGTTACACGTTTCCACAACACAATCATTGGGGATGAAAACAAAGGCTCAAGATTGAAGAAAAGGGAGTCACTAAGAGTTCTTCAATTCAACATCATTATTGGTGGGCCTCAAATTCCTCCATAGATACCTCCCGCTAGCCATGTCAACAAAAACCCAGAATCCATTTTGAATCATCTGAAAACCCAATTAACAATCTTGTCAAAAAAACACAAAAACAAAAACAAAGATAAAAAGAAAAAGAAAACCATGTTTTTGAGGGTACCTTTTTGAAATCAAAATCTTCCTTCTTGGAGGAAGAAGTGTCTTCCATGGTTGAGTCATCGGAAGCCAAGTCGTTCTCCGGCGAGGAACGCACCGTCCTCCACGCAAAATAGCCTGCCAGCACGGCGGAGAAGAACACCAAGATGAACCTTAAAGGGCACATCTCTCACAAAAACACAAACCCAAGAAAGAAAAAAAACAGAAAAATGGGAAAATTCAAGGTATGATTTTTCAGAAATGGAAGTTGGAAAGAGAGAAAATTGATGACACCCCACGGAAGAACAAGTGTACGAGAATGATGGGTTGGGTTTAATTTTTTTTTTCCTTGAGAAGAAGATAAAGAAAAATGGGTAAAGCGAGAGGATCTCTAAAGAGATACCAGAACCAGCACGTTGAGTTGTTCCTTGTTTGTTTTGTCTGAAAAAGAAAATTCTCAACAACCACTTTGCGACTTTGGGGTTTATTTTGCTTGTAAATGAAAGTTGTTTACATTGTCAAATGGTTGCTTCACCAGTTGTATGCGTTGCAATTTGCATATTAGGTCAACTTTTTTGGCTTGGCCTTTGATGAAATGGTGACTAAAATTAAAAACAGAATTATGTATTGCGCAGTTGCAGAGCTATAAGCCTATACTTTGGGTAGATTTTATTTATATTAGTTATGTTAATTAAATGAAGAGTAAATATCCTTTTTGGTCCTAGCAAATTTTATAAAGCCCATTTTAGTTCCTAGCAAATAAAAAGATCTATCGTGGTCCCTAAAAAATTCAAAATGGATCTATTTAGTTAAAATTGTGATCCCTCATAAATTCAAAAAAGATCCATATTAGTCTCTAAAAAGACTAAAATGGGTCTATTTTGAATTTTTTAGGGACCACGATGGACCTTTTTATTTGCTAGGGACTAAAACGGGCATTGTGAAATTTGCTGATGACCAAAAAGGATATTTACTCTTAAATCAACTAATATAAAGTCAAAAAGTGAATCCATTTAGTTGAAATCGTGGTCCCTTATAAATTCAAAAAAGCTCCACATTAGTTTCTCAAAAAGACTAAAATTGATCCACTTTAAATTTCACAGAAATCAGCCGATTAATTTTTGTTGTAAAGGACTAAAGTGAGGAAAGTATTTTTTTGTTAGCTACCCAAAAATATATTTACTCAGAAAAATTAATTGCATCGTGATTTAAGTGTGCCCCACCAGTTCGGGTTTATCTTCTAGATGCACGCACACCTCCAAAGTTGACTAAATTTGTAGTCCTCAACTGCTCTCTTTGCTGTTATTAGAAGGAAATATACTAATTTGGTTTAGTGCCAAAACAAATAATATCGCCCTGTCTTTCTTTTTTTTTTCTTCTTCATTTTGCAATTTGATTATCTTATAATCCATTGACATTTGCTATCTTTGTTTTTTTCTTTTTCTTTTTACCGGTTAACTTTTAACTGGTGAGAATTACAGATATCACACGTATTCTTCTAAATTTAACTAGATATTTTAAAGAAATGTAAATTAAGAAAATAATTAGTTGAAAGAATTTTTTTTCAGAAATTAAAATATTATATAACATTCTTTGAAAAAAAAAGTAAAATTAAGAATGGCATATATCATTCTTTAGGTTGGAGTATAATAAGAAATTAATTAACTTTTAAAAATAAATTTGTTTTTATTTAATAAATAAGAGTGCATTGCATTTTTTATAGATATTTGGATGAAGTTAATGATAAAAGATAAATAAATAAGTTTTAGTATAAAGAATAAAAAAAATTGTTGGAAAATGGAAAATTATAAAACAACATCCAATTTAGCCCCATAATACTAAAGGGCTAAAAGTTACTAAATGAACGAAAAAAGCAGAACTTTTCAGTGTTAAGAGAAACACTTCAGGAGAAAACAATGAGAAAAGATTAATTTTTATCCAAAAGATATGAAACAAAAATTCCGAAGATTAAAAAAAATGAGGAATATTTAACATCATAATAACATGTAATAAAATTTTTGATAATAGTCTACCAAAAAAAATTGATAATTAAAAAGATCTGTAGTTGTGATGCAACTTACGCTTTATAAAAGGAAAAAAAATGTAGAGTAAGATGTTTCATTGAAGTTTTTATTTTTTTATTTTATTTTTCTGCTTGTGCTGATGATTTATCAGGACTGCTATTTACTTGCTATATTGTGTCTTCTTCTTTTTTGGTAGACGCTATATTTATCAAAAAAAGTATGCATTGATTAAAAAATGAAGCATGATATATAAATAAAATGTAATAAATGCTTTTTTATGCCAAATATGATATTAATCGGAAAAAATGATGCATGATATATACATAAATAGTAATAATAAAAAATAGTAATAATCGTTTACTATTTTTGTTAAGTCAATTTTTTTTTTTTTTTGTCATTCTATGTTGAGTGTATTACAGTACTCTTGTGTTGAAATTTAACTATCAAAGTAAATGAGGCAATATAAATTTGAATAAAGTTACTTTTGGGTTCCTAACAAAAAATACGATTCTTAGATCACCTCATAGTTTTAAAACACTTAATTATAATTAAAATAAAGATTAAAGGATAGGATTAGTGAAAATCCTGAGTTCTGGGTCAAAATACGTAAAAAAGGTAAAACTGTAATTTGACAAATACGTAACCCTAAACAGTGAAATGTTCGTAGAAGGTTTCAAATGGAAAAACTAACCCTAGAAATGAATTCAGAACAAAAAATTGAGTGATTAGGCAAGTTTTTGGAAATTTGATGAATAATGTTTTTATAGCAGTACATTTGCACCGAAAAACATGCCGAGTGAAATTTGAGCTCTAGGTGTAAAAATAAGTTGGAAAAGATACATAGGAATAAGAATTATGATTATTGATAAAATTTGATGAAAACTAGAGTTTTTGAGGAAACGTGCCAACAGTGAACATATCGAGTTAAAATTGCAATTTCACCGAATGACCGGAAATTTCGGATTCATCTGTTCAAGGGTAGTTAAAGGACCTTGGTGAATGTTAAATTTTTTATTTAATGGATAGTTCATGAATTAATTGAAGATTAGTGGTGAGATTAGGTGAGTTTAAGGGAGGTGGCACTTGTGGGACTCATCCCACTTAAGTGACTTATGAGCACATGTAAAATCAGAATTTTGACGTCTTCTTCCTCTTCCAAACAGCCCCAAATTTGTGGCCCTCCATTGTTAGTGAAAAAGAAAAGCTTGAAAACTTCAAACCAACATAACTTGAGTTCTAGGGCATGGATTTGAGTGATTCTAAAATCAAACTTGTGTAAAATCTTGAGAAGAACACGTTACTAACCTTAATTTCGAGTGGGGATTATTATGGAGAGAGATTCTTGGCCAAAAAGGTGACCTTTTTGAAGAATTTGGGGGTCAATGATGGTGGTTTGAGTTGAATTGGTGCTTGAATATCACTCCTTGGAGGCTTGTGAGTCCATTTGTGGTAAGTATTCTCAATCCCATTGAGTTTTGTTGATGATTTGAAAATAGGTATGAAATTTGAATATGTGTTGGTGAGTTTGGGTAGTTGGAGATCTCAAAATGACTTTCTATATTAGATAAATATGTCTTAGAATGATGTTTTATGATGATTGAGCTCATAAAATTCATTGAGGAAAAATAATTTAACTTAAGCAAATTTTGTGTTCATGAACAAGACTTTGTGAATTGAGATTGTGGTGTGATTGGATAATTGAGTTGTGGAGTAGTTATATTGGTTAATTATAGGTTGTATGATGTGTTTGAAGTGTGGAATTGGATTGAATGTCCCTTGGTATGCATGCTTGTACAATTTGGCCATGTAGGTGAAAATAAGGAAGGATGGTGTGAATTTGATGTAATGGGTGTTGTGAGGATTTGAACCAAGTTTAAATAAGTTGTGTGATGGTGTGAAGCATGTGAATTGGAAGCAAAATCATTGGATGTGTGTGGGTTGTGATTTCGGCCTAGAAGAGGAAGTTTAGGAAAAATAGTGTGAGTTGTGATTCAATGATGTTGTGGACTTGAATTGGTGTTGTCATGGACTTAGAAAGTCATAGGAACGTTGGAATAAAATTAACAACATGATTTGGTAATTTAGGCCTAATGGCCGAAATGGGGTTATTGGGTTTGTGTGAGTTCATTGTGTTGCATTGCAATTTGATGCACAATTGAATTGATGATCCTTTGTGCGATCGTTGTAGGTTGCCTCCAACGAACGTGATCCTTGAGAATTGAGCTTGGTGGATTTCCTTTGGTCCTTGACTAAAAGGATTATGGTAAGTATTTATGTCAAAATTGTGTGAATGCTTGAATGACCAAGTGAGTGGTCTTTATGTGGTTCTAATGAACGTGAGAATGACCTTGTGTAGGCATTTCTGGGTGAACAGAGTTATTATGTAACTTGCATTGGAGCTACCTAGCTTGGGAGCTTCAATAAGGTAATCATTTGTACTGGGGTTAATCCCGTGTGTGCTCCACCATGCCCCTTAGGGGTGGTGGTTGGAGGTTGTATGTCAGGAATGTAGTCATAACATGGTCATGCATTTGTGTGTATATTGGGTACATAGGATGTACCGTATCTCTGGCCAGTAGATAGTTTTCTTCGGGCATTACGAACTTCCACTGGATAGGTCTCCGTGAGGGAGTTCCAGTTGGCTTGGGGCCATAGAACTGTTATCCGTTGAGGAGCACTCTAGGAATGTCTCGGATGTATATGGATGATGGGTGCCTTGGTTGATGTTCTGGGAACACATCCTTGGATGAGAGCCCGTAGGCTATATGCTGAGGCCAATAGGCCCAATGTTGCATGGTTTTGGCTTGACCATTCCAGCTTCAACTTATGTGTACTCCCTATGCATCCCTACTTCACTAAATTCCTTACTTTATCCCGTTTTGGCTATTATGATGCATTGTTGATTTTACATTTGAGTGAGCCATTAGGCGGAGTGATCTCAAGAACCTCTGGGTTACTGAGATATATTCGTATATCTCACCCCGTGTTTGGGGCATTATTTTATTAATAGGCCTACAACGCGCCTGAAGATTAAATTAATTTCTTAATTTAAATCTCTTCCCACAATTATTTAGGTCTAATATAATAAAATTCAATCATTCTTATCCGATGGGACTTCGCATGATTATTTTATCTGTAAAGAACCTTGGGATACACCACCCCAAAAGCTAGCTCAAAGGGTGGGAGTTTCCAAGGCCTTATAAACTCCACATTAGTTGCACATACAACCAATGTGGGACTATATATCTCAACACGCCCCCTCACACAAGAGCCTATTGGGCTTGAAGAGTGGATAATGCAACAGGCCCAGCCTACCTGTGCTAAGAAACGCCACAAGAGAAAGCGGGGGGCGGTGAGGCTCTGATACCATGTAAAGAACCTTGGGATACACCACCCCAAAAGCTAGCTCAAAGGGTGGGAGTGCCCAAGGCCTTATAAACTCCACATTAGTTGCACATACAACCAATGTGGGACTATATATCTCAACATTATCAATGGGATACAATGCGTCTGGAGGTTAAATTAATTTCTTAATTTAAATTTCCTCATATTCAACACAAGAAATT